CATAAGCATACCTACGTATAGTATTTTATCGCAAGGCATAGGTGAGCAGCAGCATGTAGATTTACGATTACACGTAGGCGAGATAGCCTTACTACACACACGCATATTATTGGCAGGCACGTCACAGCGCAACGTATATGCGTGTGCGCGTGTACGTGTTCTGCCCCCTGTAGGACAATGCGTAAGCCGGTGGGTCTCCAATTACGCGCGGTTACACGTCGATTATTCGAAATCAAAGACGTCGCGTTTCAAATCGAGCAACATACGTTCTCCCGCGTATACAGAATCGTATGTCAATAAAGTTGATACACACGTACGATCCCCGTTCTCTCGTTGTTGTTACTCGTTTTCACGCGCGGACGCGCGTTAATCGCGACCGCGTTTGTGAACCTCGAGATTAAAAATTCGAGGAAAGTGTTCCTCAGGGTGAGACGATTGGCAGAGACTGGAGACGACCGGCCCAAGCGAGTTCACACCTAATATACGTGCAGAAGGTTCGTGCTGTCCCTTCGCGACAGCTATATACGACGCGGATTTACGGTGTGCGTGAAACGAATAACATTCGCATATCAGTTTCTATATCTTCATATCAAGGTGCATCAACGACGGTGAACCATCCACCAAAAACTCAATCACGTGGACGTATCGTGATTGCGCGCGTGTCGCGCGCGAAAACGCGCCGCGGCCCCCGCGCTAATTAACCACCGTATTCGCGCAATTGACTCGCCCTGGACACGGTAAATGCCTCGAATCACGAGGCGCGAATACTTGGCGAACACGGTATCGCGAGCGGCACCCAGCGCTCTTTATTCGTTGTGAATCTCAGGAATAGACGTTAACGCATATTCGCCGACGCAAATTCGCGATTTCGAACTGATATTTTTTATTCGACCTTTCCGGCCCCCCCCCCCGTAAAAGTTTCACAGACGTTCTTCTATCACCGCGCAAATTTTTAGGCAGACGTATATCTATAGAGGGAGAGAAAGAAAGAGAAAGAGAGAGAGAGAGAGAGAGAGAGAGAGACGTTAATCGCTTTTGTATATATAGAAGCAGTCGCTCATACTCGTTGATGCCTTCCTTTATATGTTTCGAACGACTGTATTGTTACGCGAATGCACTCACACGGCGACAACAAGCGGGCAGTCTGCACGAACCTGAAACCAGGTCAGGGGATGAGAGCTTATGCTTAACGCGTAAAATTGAAATTATCGATTAATCTCGCTAGCCGGATGTTCGAGTATCCGATACGAAAGGCACACGTTCGGAGCTTTATCAGTTGTATATTGACGAAACATTGTAATAAATTCGTACGTACAAGTACAAATTTATTAAATAATTTCCGGCAAGCCAGAGCTGCCGTTCTATTTTCATCCAATGTTTATCCGCCTAATTATATCGGATATCGAACAACCTCTCGACAGAACTTTTACTAAATGCGATCAACTTTAATGAAATCTAAAAATTGTATAAATATATTTAATAATATAATAGTACAGATATCAATCTCAGAAAGAAGTATACAACCGAATCGCGCGCTTCGCTACGGACAAATAATGCATTCGTAAGATAAAAAAAAAAACGCCTTGTGCCCTCAACCCCTGACCCGGCTGATATTATTGCTGTTAAAATGGGGAGAGAAGTGCGCGAGACAGAACAATAGTAATAAATATATTAAGATTAACGTAACTGATATCCGATCGATAAGTGACGGCGAGCGGCAAATAGCTCGTCGCGGTTATAGTTGCTCATGGAAGAGAAGATCGAGTGATCGAACGGCAAAAGAAATGCACGACGGCAATCAAGAGAAAAAAAAAATGTCACAAAGTTTTAATCTTGTACTTAACGTCGATAGAGATACTCGATATATTTTAGATTACAATTAAGAGACTGACTAAATTGGAAAAAGGGGGGATACAGATAATCGGCGTCAGTATCACAAAATAAAAGCTGTCGCGGATTTAAATACAAATTTGTCTGTGTGTGATTCACTTTATTGGTATTTCGGGTGTAAAATAAAATTTTACTAGATGAAAACGTTCGCTCTGTTAATTACTGAAGAATACTTGTTAAATTTTTTTACAAAATTCGTCGCTGATCCGATCGAGTAATTGTAAATGATAATATTTTCAATCATAGGTATTTGATAGCGATGTCTCTCGCATGTATACAGAGAGGAAATATTATTACACGCATACACACATACACACACGTTTTGCGAGTTTGGAAATTCAAAAATTGGCATTCCAACGTCGATGGCGTGTTGCAGAGACGCGCAGAGGGAAGCGTTTATTTGGACTGATATAATTTAAGCTAAGCCTCACAAATTTTCCAAGGTACATATACGCTTGATCGCACAAAAGGCATACCACGGATCGTCCGGTGCTTCGCACGCGTTCCCTCGCTTTTATAGGGTCCTTACTCTCTAATTAATACCGCGATTAATTACTTAAGCAAACTCAAAACTGCTGCGCACTTTGTCCACGATCGGAGAAGCGTGAAACGGCGCGATCACGTTGCGCGCGAGCGGCTAATTTCGACGATTCGCTTCGCTCAACATCTTCTCTTCTATAAACCGCCGCGCCGCTGAGCAAGTAAAGGAGGAAAAAAAAAATGGAAAACGTAGGCGAATATAATGAAATCGAATATATCAGTTCACACACACGGGAGAATCTATTATGCAATGAATCCAATAGCAATAAATGTAAAAAGAAGTGAAGAAAAAAGAAGAGAGGGAGAGAGAGAGAAAGAGAGGCGGAACTTCGCGGAGACGTCGAAACGCATGTAATCGACGCTATGTATATCGTTTTCAATCGGAATATCCATCCGTTTCCGCGTCTCCGCCGCGATCACTCTACACTATACATATATAAATAAACAAATGAATACATATATATATATATGAAAAAAAATATATATTATATGTCAAGAGATATTTATACTAGTATTTTAATAGTTTAGTATATAATTTAATATATATATATAAATATATATATACTGTAAAAGAGAAAGGGGCGAATGTAATATACAAAGGTCGAATAGAATGCGAGTGAGTGAGAAAATGTGAGAAAATAACTGAACACTGTAAATATACATATGGACACGCATAGAAATATTATATATTCTATGATATATTATATACATATATTGAATATGATTAGTGATACAGATATATACATAGAGTTATTGTATACACCAGTATATAGAGACAAATATGTGAATAGGAATTAATCTAAACTGAAATTAACTATAGGCAATGAGTATTTAGAGATTAAGACAAAGTTTATTATGTAAAGATGCATAGGCATTATTACTACGGGGACACCTAATCATAATTATTGACATTATGATAAAAAAATTAGGCAAAGGAAAAAAAACCTAGCGCGATGAGAACATGTTGATAAAGTTCTTACAATATATTATAGGTAGGATTATATAATATATATATATACATATATATATATATATATACTTTATTGTTTGTACATTGGGCACGAGTGCTCTCTTATTTTACTGTGATCCATGTTTTGTACGATTTTCGAAGGTCGCATCGCATACCCATAGGCCGGCATTAGGCAACGTTGCTTTTTCGCCATTTCTATCTCCCCCGACTCGTCGTTTTCGATAGAACAATCGCATTTTCGACGAAAATTTGCCTACGTGTAGAATCCCCCCCGAATATCATTCACGCTGGAATAACGCGGAACGCGTAACGAAAAAAATTATATCCAAGCAGCGAAACTGAGCAAGCACATTCGATAACGGGGATTCATCGAAATCCTCTATTATTTTCTAAAATAATATTTCGCTAAATCATTGATTTCGCATAACAATCGACAACAACCAACAAAAAAAAAATCAACGTTATTTTCGTTCGATCGAAAATTGGACAAATTTGGAAGATCCTGAAAATGTTTGTACTTTGAAATATGTATTTTTAGACAGTTCCGAAATAGCTTATTGTACGTCTTGCTGTTCTTCCGGTCGTGGTGAGTAATACAAAATCATCTTACAAATGTAACAAGAGAAAGAGAGAGAGAGAGAGAGACAATGTTCGGACAATTTTTTTTTCTCTTTTAATTTACGTCGCTCTAACTTCCTCAGAATAGAACCGCGATTAATTTCGATGACGTTATATTTTCATGTTCTTTCATATCCAATCTTAGCGACCGTACTCTTTCTCTTTTCACTCCAGACGCGAAATCAATAGGAGAATGTAATCGACCCTCACGGACTGACTGAGCTTGAAAGATGTTCAATGTGATATTCGTAAAAATACGACAGCGGAGAAAAGAACGATAACCAAAGTGTTAGATTGGTACAAAAGGATTATATGTATTATATTTGTGAAACAAAAAATTAAAAACTCGCGCACGTATAAAAAATAACTTTTATTTCACTGGCTTCGATACACAAAAAAAGAAAATTGTTCCAAAAAATTTATCCTATTGAAAAGATTCGGATCCATGATTTTATCTACAATACAAATAATGAAAACAAAACTCCTTCGCACTAATCATGTTTCTGGTGTAAACTCTTCATCTGATTTTTTCATCACTTTCGGAAAAATAAAGGAAACCCCGCGAAAAGTCTCTACGATTAAAGCATTCGTGGATTGACAGGCTTGCAAAATAAATCACGGCACAAAATCGTGGAAAGAAATCGCACAGTAGAAAGATTTCGCGGAACAGATTCCACGTGAGTCTCGCGAAATTACGTTAGCGGAAACTTCGCGGAATCGCACGCACGTGTCGAAGTGCGTCTGTTAGTCACGTCGAGGGTACATGGTGGAAGGAGGAGGAGTGGTGGTAGAAGTAGGGTGAATGCGAGAGATACCCTTTTCTCTCTTCCTCTATCGTTTTCGAGGGTGCACACGCACGTGTGCGCGCACACCCTCCAAAACGATAGAGTAAGAGATAGGGCGAGAGAGAGTAACGAGGAGGAAGGAAGGAAAAAAGGGAGCAAGAGAGGGAAAAGGAAGAAATGCCTCTCTCTCTCTCTCTCTCTCTCTCTCTCTCTCTCTCTCTCTCTCTGCGGAGTTATCAACGATTACAACGATCGACCCTTCGCGAGTTGGTTGGGTACACGCGCGCATGGACAAAGAATCGGTAGCCGATATAAATTCGGGGACACGTGTATCACGAGCGAGAGAGCAAGAGAGTGGGAGAGAGAGAGAGGAATTGTAAGAGGGTGAGAGCGAAGGGAACGAGAGAGAAGAAAGCATAGGTCAGGGGTGTATTCACCTGGCGCCGCCCCAAGTCACGCCTACCTGCGCGATTCCGAGCGTAGGTAGGCACGCCTACGCGTGCGGCACCAACACGCGACGCACGTACAAGACACGCATACACGCGCGCCCTGCATCTACGCCGTCGTGCATCTTCTACGTGTATATAGACGCGGGTCGCGCAGGCAGGTGTGCGAGCACCCGATCCGCCGACACGCTAAGCCTACGCCTACCACTGCCTCCACGATCCGTACACACACCACACACACACACACACACACATCGACGACACACGCGATCGACTACTGCCGCCGCGCCGAGTCGCGTCTCCTACCGCGAGCACCGTCTGTTACTACTAGCCTAGTTAAAGGCATCACACGGAGCGCGCGTTTCGCAAGTTTGCGGATCGGGTCACTCGGTATAACACGTTCCTGGAGCGTACTCGCGCGTCGCCTACGTTCTTACGCTATGATTTCCGACGCCTGTACTCGATTTTCAGATACTAGCGGGGTGCATAGATGCCTGTTCTACAAAAGTCTCAGTATCAGAGAGTAATCGGACAAATTTTGTACGCGGAAGCGAAAAGAGATACATTCTGATAAATATAGAGACATCTTTCCCGTCGAAAATCGAATTAATCTCAATTCAAGTTAATGATACGTGGAAAAAATTAACATTTAATAATTTAATTATGAAAAATGAAAGAAAGATCAAGCGAGATATTTACACTTTGATGGATAACTTTTTTATCGAAAGGTCAATTGATTTTTTATTTAAATTAATGATATGTGTTGTATGTGGAAAATTAAATATCTAATTTAAAATTGTAAGAAATTAAAAAAGAAAATAATCGTTACAGAGATAATTGCACTACTTTTGCTGGATAGAGATATCTTACTTGCCGAAAATCTAAGTGATTTAAATTTAAATTAATGAGCCGTAAATTAGATAATAATTCGATTATGAGAAATTAAGAAAAAAACAGATTACGTGGGTTATTTATTATAAACCAAATAATATATTTTAGAATTGTAAATAAGAGTAACACAAAACTTTTATAAAATTTTATATACCTCTCTATACTGAAACTGTGTTTTGTAATGGATAAATTTATATTTCTTAAACAAAAAAGGTTAATTTATCGCTTTTTTTTTTAGAAAAATTATCGTACGATTAATGTTACTATCAACATGGCGAATATTGATAACACTTCTTACACGGTGATTACAATTGGATTTTTCGAAAAGACCAAAGAGAAAATTATTGGATCTTGAACATCACTTGTGATAAAAGAGCTATACAAAAATTATAAGTTTATCGCGTTAAGAGATTGCTATGATTAATGCTGCTTCCAGGACTTTAAACGTCGACCGTACTGTTGATTGTACGATAATCGCATGACAATTTAAGCTGATGGTCGAAGAAGCGATTAAATGAGCATTACCAGATGATTATCAGTTTATGAAAAAAAAAAGTGAAAAAAAAAAGAAGAAAAAAAAGAGCGACAGATTTAATGCCGCGTTTTAATGCACCAAGTAACCGTCAATGCTTTGGGCGTAGCGCAGCACGTCGAGAGCACGAATCAAATCGGTTTATATCGCGATTGTATTTTTTGCTGAACTTGCAATTTTTCTTTCGTAACGTGAAAGGACAGGCAGCTTCGCTCGCGTCGTCGTCGTCGCCGCCGCCGCCGCCGCCGTCGCCGTCGCCGCTGCTGCCGCTGTTGGGTTCACATCCGCGCGCACGTGTATTCCACATCTACGCGACAGAGACAGAGAGACGCGTGTGTATGCAACGCGCGTCAGCGAGATGCAGCAGTGTATACTCGTGAAGCACGTGCATCCCACCCCGCACCCCTCCTTGCGACGGACCGCGGGTACGTGCCTGCTTGTCGCTCCGTTATTAATGGGATCTCTTCCGCGGGAATTCCGCCAATAAGGTCGACGCGGCAGGATCACGGCCTCTCTCTCTCTCTCTCTCTCGCTCTCTCTCTTCCTCTCGTCTCTGTCGCTACCCCCGCGTTTTTCCCCCCCGTTCGCTCCCCCTCCCATCCCTCCCGATTACGACGCTCAGCCTTGTCAAGCCGCTCTTTCTCCCTCTGGCCGAGCTTTTCAAAGTACACCGCGTACATGTAAAAAAAAAGTGTAGAAAAAAGTTGTACGCCCGACACGTCATATCTTACGGGGCGTGCAGCTCTCGCCGACGCTCTCGCCGACGCTCGATAACCGCGTTTGATGAATACCGATTTACCGCACCGTGTATACGATGCGTACTTTGCGCGTGGATGTGCAGATGTATATATAGAGGGGGGTATCTCTCACCTGCGCGGTATCTTTCATCCCGCGGCGACCGGGATGTGCGAAAGCGTTCGCAAAACAATTTGTTATCTCTCTGCCCGAAATGCAGTCGAAGGCCACGATCGTGTATCAGAAAGAAGAGTAGGATATCAATGCGCGCGAAATGCTAAACTCGCGCAGCAACATGTAAATGTGATATGTATATTTTACGTGCAAAGCGTATAACATTTTCAAAGTAAATTTAGCAAACGCGTATATTCGGGGAATATGTATGTTTGAAATGTAATTCGCCGAGATATTTGAGACGCCTTGACTTTTTGAGATATTTTGGAAGCGCGACATTTTCTCGTGGAGATTTCGAGACGTCGTCGTCGTCGTCGTTGACTAAATACCAACGCTGAAAGATATAACGATGGCTGAAGGGTACCGAGAATTATCAACATTGTCGGACGTCGGTCGTATTGTGCACTCACTGCATATTTCGCGTCCAAGCACATCCGTTTCCGTCATTGTTTCCATGGAGTAACATTGTATAATCGCGATACTTACTAAGCACATAGCCCGGGATCCACGAATGCATTTCCGCTTTCTTCTGCGAAACGTGCATTTCGCGCGCGTTAACAGTTTACGAAAGAAACACGCGTCGCAAAGCCGGTGCGAAGGAGGCCGCGTAAACTATCCGCGAATTTCGCAAATATTTTTTTTGTATATTGCTCCCTTACTCCAAAAGTGACGCAACTTGACAAAAATTGAATTCTCTCAGAAAAGGAGACAATCTGTATTTTTCAACTTTACAGGAAACAATTGATTAATTCAATATAACGTATTGAATTAAAGTTAAAAGGAATATAATTTTAACATGATCACACAAATGACATTTTTCTCACTTTCGTTTCGCAATTCTTGCGAAGAACCTTTTTCGCAGTTATTATGACAATTTTTTATGAATTTAGATTGCGTTGCTTTTAGTGATCGATAGAGTACTGGTACCTATATAATAATTGTACTCGTCTCGTTCATGATGTAAATGACTCAAAAAACGTAACTCGTACGTTACGTTTGTTAATTTATGTCACTCTTGAAATGAAGGAGCGTTTATATGTATGGAACAAAATGAATGCTTTTTTCTCTTTTGGCACTACAATTAAATAACGTTTCGCCGAAGTGCAGACGAAAGTAACACCCGTCTGTCGAGGCTCGGTTACAACGAGATCTAATTTCATGTAATTCCCCGGCTTTTGATTCCCCTGGTAATCAACAGATACAGAGAATGGAAAAGAGAGAGGGAAAGAGAGATCGCATAAACATGTACACACATCTAACACATACACACATACATGCAGAGACAACACAGTGTTCAATATTTTCGGAGTCACCCTGTAGATCGAAAATCTCGCATATAGTAATAACAGATTGTATAACACTTAAGCTTTCCGTAACGATACGAAAGACATACGAAACCTACGAATTGTTATGTTTTCTACAGTAACGTTTGTACTACCGACTTACAACAATATTTGTACAATATACGATAAAAGAGAAACGTGTACCTATACAACATAGGTTACCCAGATGCAATAACTTTTTTAAACGGTGTTAATGGTTACCGGAATATTTTTCATACTTGTAACGACTCGTTGCGGCGTTTCCGTTCGTCCGTCCGTCAGGTCCGTTCATCACGGGCGCGGCGTGACGCGACGCGGCCGGTACCCGCGGCAACCACTACTCGTTTCGTTTTGTGCCAACCAGAGTCTTAGATTTTGCTTTCCCAGAATTTAATAACGTGCTGTTAAAGCGTAATAACACATGTGTAACCGGACCTTTAAGGAATCGAATGCTCATGCCATTCCACTTTAGCACATCTCGACACCAAGCACCCACGCCCATTCGCTTGATTATCGAATATTAGAGGGAGAGACAGAGAGACAAAGAGAAAAAGGGGAAGGAGGAAAGAGAGAGAAAAAGGGAGAATGCATGTTTGTATGTGTGCGTATGTATGAGAGAGAGAGAGAGAGAGAGAGAGAGAGGCAATTGAAAGACAGAGGGAAATGTGTAGTGTACACATAGTTTGTCAGCAAAAAAAAGCGAACGTTGTTCTTCAGGCGAGCGAGAGACGGAATTTGAGCGCCGACGAGAAAATGTTTGTTTGCGACGAGACTCTCGAAACTATCTCGCGGCGTTAGTAATTCGATTATCGGACTTTGCGAGAACGGATACGAGAGAGCTGTAAACGGAACGCAAACGCCAATGGTGCCGTTACGATCTCTCCGCGATGCATTCGACAATGTGCACTCGATATTCCGATGCACCGAGTTGTCGCGGAAAATTAAGAGCAATATAACTCGCGCTTGTCATAGCTCGGAAGAAAATTAAGTTTTTCAAACGTAAAAACCCTCGATGAGGAGCAGTATCGTTGAGATTTCTTAATCGCATTTGAGAAAGACACGTTCTAATTTAATTGAAATCTCCAAAAGTATCGTCAACTTTTTGTCAGGCGTCACGATCAAACATTTAATGTGATACCCCAATCACGCTTGTTTCGAGATTTTCTTGGTCGCACTCTAGAGATCATTAAATTAATTCTCACGGTAATAATATCCACAAAATTCATTAAACTTAAGAAGGAAGAATAGAGACGAAACAGCACCGAAAATAAAAATGTAAATTACATATCGATATATAAAATATACATTTTTCGTTAACGCGCGACAGTAAATGATTGATTTCTTTGCAACTTTATCTCTGAATAAGATTGTTAATTTTTCACTATGCAATCGTGTCTACTGAAATTTTTTTGAAATTTTACATCAAAAAATGCACTAAGAAAAAGTGTAGTTGACGCAAAAAATATTTCAGCCATGCGAGATGAATATTTTCTACCACCAATAACACGATATTAATAAACGGTGCAAAAAATTAGTATTTTTATACGTATAGTTAATTATATGTTTTGTTTGTTCTCGACAACAATGCTCTGAAGACACTCGCGCGACTTTACAACTGTCGAGTGCATTAATATATTTTTAATCCGGTTGCACTGTTTGCTCTTCTTTGCTTTTCGAACACCTTGTACATGTACGATATCGCGTGATACTCGGAACTCCCGAGTGCGACCTTGCTGATCTTAGATATTATGGGCTGCGATAGGACACGTATGTGAGTTATCGAAGCGCGATCTTTGCCTGCGGTGAAATAAAAAGACTACCGACCAACCGACCAATGCGTCTCATTTTTGGATATTCTAGTTTATTTTTACGGCCGTTCGCGCGCGTGATACACGTGATGTCACCTTCGTATGTGATTAGGCAATGGACGAGCTACGACGAGTCTACATCTCACAATTGATTTGCGGAATACACTTGTTCTCGTCGTCGTACCATTTATTCAGTTATTGAGTAAAAGCGCAATAAAAAGTTCAGGACAAAATTAGAATAATTCATAAGATTTACTTTAATTATTGTACAATTTTCTTCGTATATATATATTTAGCAACAGATGAAATTAACTCTCTACTTACTATTTTGTAAGAACGAAAAGTTAACTGTTATGGAAAAATTTCTTTCCTTTTCCGGGATGATAAAAATGTTAAAGAAAAAATTCTAAAATATTTAATAGATAATTGAACTACTTATTTTTTTTTTCGTGAGAAAAGAATCTTCATTTGTGAATTGAAAATCATATGATATAAAAACTTCAACATCATCACGCGCACTCGTTGCTATCGCGAACGACAGTGCGAGGAAAAGACAGGGATATATATATATTGTAAAAAAAAAATTTGCGCTGTGTCCCCGAGCTCATTGTAATCGAGTAACTATGTTCAACTCGTACAAGTGTTCACTTGGAAACTAGAGACGTGTAAGATGGACGCGACCGAGGAGGCGACTGAGCGAATAATCCGACAGCATTTCCGTCCATCCGATACGTTTCGTTCTGTGTTGAAAGTTTTGGATTGTCGACAGGTCTGATTTCGAAATTATCCAAAATTGAGTGTCGCAAAATTTTGAATTGAAGCCGTGAAATCGTAGCCACGTTGCGAATGCGTCCTGAGATTTGCGAGCTCGATTGAGTTTCGGTTTAATGGCGTTTGTATATGCAAACACGCGCGAACACTTGTGTACACGTATGCATTTCAGCTGTATGTCGATAGGAATCGGACGTTTCGGAAAAATCGGCAAAATTCGGCATCTTGTAGAAACTCTCACACACACACACACATACACACACACATGAAGGAAAACCGGAAAAATCTACTCCGACAGAACAAAAACCCACTCTCGTCCGTGAAAAGTTCACCAGTATCGACAATGCGTTTCTGAACGTTCCGATCATAGCGGATAGCCACAACTGATTTGGCTTGGCGTAAAAAAGAAGAAATAAATTAAAAAAAAAAAAAAACTGGTTTGTTTCGATTCTTAGACGAACGAATGCATATCATAGTTGTAAATTAACAATTTGTGAAATAAAAGCTGCAAACTGTTTGTGTTAACAATACGTCACGTGCGTATACGATGTGTGTATTCTTGCCTGCCTCTGCTGCGCAACCGCAATCCCCGCCGTGTATCCAATCTCGCGTGAAACCCAGAGCGATATTATGCCGTAGGGATTGTTTATCGCTATCATAAGCCGCGTCCGCGCGATACAAAGGGTAAGTGTACAGTTCATAATCTTCCATTCGAGCGTGAAACAATACCCGCCCGAGACATCCGCTGCGCGACGCGCTATTCGAACCACGTTCGCGAGACAAATAACGAAGTTCATGAAACGAGCTGAATTTTGTTTTTTTCTTCTTTTTTTTTTTTCAATAAAATTATTCAAATTATACACATGAATCGCGTCATAGAATATCTCCTGAGATGCTCGAATTATTGGAATTATTTTGTTTAAATTATTCAGAGTCAATTACGATCTTTCCTATAAGGTCTACCGAGCAAGAAATCGCACGATTAATCGAGACCCTCGGGTTATTCGAAGCTCAAATCGTGCTGCTCGTGTGACGTAATGTCCTCTCCTGTTGCAGGTCTCGCTCGCCCTCGGATTGGAAGCGGGCGGATGGGGCGCGCTGGTGGAGCGGACGAGCGCGCACGGAGGCACCGGTGGCACCATCCTCGGCCACGGCGGCTTCACCGGCCTAGCCGGACTGGTGCGTCGCTGCGGCGTCTGCCTGGCGACATTCCCGTCGCCGTGGCTGCTGGAGCGACACGCGCTGCTGCAACACGCTGGTCAGACCAGCGACGACAAGCCGTTCACCTGCGAGCAGTGTGGTCAGCGCTACCGCTACCGATCCGCCTACGTCAAGCATCGCGAGCAGAACCATCGCGCGCGGCTACCGGCCGACAAGCTCTTCACCTGCGACGTGTGCGGCATGCAGTTCAGGTATCTAAAGTCCTTTAAGAAACACCGCCTCAACCACGCGCTTGAGCGGTTGCAGCGCGCGCCCGAGCCGCAAAGCAGCGTCGTCGTCGTCTCGGCACCGGCCGAGCGCAGCGATCAGGTCTCCAGCACCGGCGAGCCGTCCCAGATTGAGACCGGCAGCGACACCACGACGAATCCGGGCGACGCCGAGGAGATGCGTGGGGTATTCTCTGAGAGCGCCCGCGGTGACGAGAGCGTCTCGGAGACCGCGAGCGTTCAAGAGAACCCTGGCGACGCGGTGGAGGTGCAGATGACGGAGACCACCACCACCACCACCACCGCCACTGGGACCGGCGGGATTGGCGGTGGTGGCGGCGGCGGCGGCGGTGGTACCAGTAGCGAAGCTGGCGACGTGGACGACAACGCCGTCGACGACGATCGGCACGAGCCGAGCGAGGCGATGATCGATCTCGCGCGGAGCGTTACTCGCGAGGCCGATCGTCGCGAGCGGCGCTTTGCCTGCCCGTTCTGCGGCAAGTGCGTGAGATCCAAGGAGAACCTGAAGCTACACGTGCGCAAGCACACTGGCGAACGGCCGTTCGTCTGCCTGTTTTGCGGCCGCGCTTTTGGAGGCAAGAGCGATCTAACGAGGCACTTGCGCATCCACACCGGCGAGCGGCCGTATCACTGTGAAATGTGCGGCAAATGCTTCGCCCGGGCTGACTATCTTTCCAAGCATCTCACCACGCACATCCACCAGCGCTAACACGATCGCAACTCGGCTCCTTCGCCTCGGCCTCCTCGGAGCCGACGAGCACCGCGACGACGTGCCTCTTTCTCTCCGACGCGTCCCTCCGCGCGTTGACCTGCCGCAACCGTTGATGGACGACTCGAGGTTTGATCTTACCAAATTGTACATGTAAGCAATAACATCGAGCACACGCATTATATAAACAATACGTCGATAACGAGAGAGCGCAATTGTTCCGTAATTTAGGGTATATCATTTTATCCTTGTTGTTCATTGAATGTTAAACAAGAATAAAATATAACATCTAGATGCATCTGGGGGCTGAACGCAGTTCAGGTGAAACTAAGTGACGTACGTTCTTTCTGTGCGCTGAACAGCAAGATTATACATATGTAGAGCGCGAAGAACGAATAGCTATATTTACGCACTAATTATTTTCTCTCGGACAACGCTATTCGAAAGACAGAGATTCTCGTCGCTCACTTATCCCGACTCGTGAAGCCGCAAGACAGCAACGGCAATAATCTTTCGCGCTGTCAAATTGATTTTTCGATTTTAATAGCATTTTAATAGCACAAATTACAATTAAAATCTTGAATTATTCGATCGATCCTCATACACAAGATCATACCTCGAGTCCGCAACAGCGCCGGCGCGGCGCGGCGCGGCGCTCCGCTTTCGATTGATCGTTGTCGAGTGAAAAATCGTTCCACTCTCGAAGAGCGTCAGATGAAACTGCTGAAGGACTCCTACTGAGAGGAAGAAAAAGAGAGAAAGAATAAAAAAACAGACCGCATCTATCCATCGCCGCCGGCCCAACAAGACGCGTCAATTACGGAGAGACAAGGGAGAATGTAGTAAAATGCGATCGCGCGCTATCTCTACTACGATTCGCCAGCACGTTTGCCGATGGTTTCTGCGCTACGATAGTGAGACTAACTTGTGATAACGGATATGAAACCAAAAAGGAGAAAATGAGAAAGAATAAAAACCAAAGAACGCAACGACGCGGCGCGGGCGAAAGCCGACGGTCAAAGGCTTCCTTTTGTTGTCTTCTTCGTCTTCGTGCTCCATCGATAAAGTGATATATTTGTAATGTAATAGCTAACCTCGATATACTCGATGTGTACTCGACATATGTAATATAATTCGCGATGACGATGCCGCGTGCGATTACGATAATTTCTCTCTACGCGAGCTCCGTGCAAACGCGAACACGTCGGCGGACTTTCTTTTCTTTTACGCAGATGGAAAATCGATTTGCTTCTCGCAAAATTGTGAGGTTCAACCGATGATAATAGAGTTCATTTTTCGAGTACACAATTAATCGTGAACTTAAGAAAAGTGAGTCTTGAATTAAGCTCGAAATTAGAAATTATGTAAATTTTTTAAATGCTTTCCTAACGCTCTTTAAGATAACTCTTCAACTCAAAGAATCCTTTCGTCGTGAAAAATGCCCTCTCGATAATTGGCACGTGCATGGTACGTTCAATACATCTCAGAGTTCATCTATCGTATATGTCTAAAAGTAAATGCCTTACGATCCTTGCGACAGCCAATCAGAAGCGTTATAGTACACATTGACGTTTCTAATTGGCAGTCGCATGAATCGTAAGCAGCTTACGATAAACATTACGATAGATATAGCTGGGCTTTAATATATGGAAACTAAGACAAGTTATTAAAAGCCCGCAATACTCACACCCAATATCTTTGATTATACTATCAAAAACGAGGTGAGGCACGCAAACTTTTTAAAAGTCAGAGTTTCTGGCCTATTTCATTAATCTATTTTTGTTCACGAGAGAAAAATGAAACGCAGATAAGTATAAATTTATCACGGCGAAAGGGATCGAGAAATGTCGATGCGGAATATAAGATGTAAAAATCGCACAGCACACGTTTTGATGATATTTATTAATTCTCTATGGACGAAATTACATATTTTGCCTGAGGAAGAAGAGAGCGTCAATCTTATTTGTTCGATTTGGTTAAGAATAAATATAGTTTTATACATCTTAATGTTTTTAAATAGAGAATCTCCGAGATAAACTTGAATATACTAAGAAATGCATTACGACTACGACCCATCTTGCTTTCAGATTCTATATTAATCCATAGAGGATTAAACCGTCGAATAACTACTTTTGCGATTATCATTCGTGTAAAACGACGTGTTCGACGTTGGCACCGATCGGGAGGGTAAACCTCCCGGAAAGCGTTGCCGGTGCCTTTGAATTCCCGAATGAACGAACGAATAATCCTTTCCTTGATGATGCGGATAGCAATAATGTATATCTTTTATTTCTCCCGTCTACGTCAGAGACACCAGCGCGATTTAGGTTCGTCGTCGGGAGCCGCGAAGTAGCGTCTTGTTGCACGGTCTATATTCGGTCCTTCCAAAAATCCTCTCCATTTAGTCGCTCTCTTAGATATTTATATACATGTGTATGTGCGCGATATATATACGTATATATATATAATTTATATGTACATATATACATGCACATATACAATAACGAGATGGCGACCAGCTATGTGCTGGACCGCAAAACGAGAGTGGCCGGCTCATTCTCTTGGGATCGGTCTCGTAAGTAGCTTTAACTTCCGACCACTTCATAAACCAAGTCCGATCGTGCGTTTTCGTCGCGAGAGAAATAGAGAGAGGAAGAGAGAGAGAGAGAGAGAGAGGGGGGGGGGGAAACGTATAGGACAGAACTCGTGCGAGCTCGAAGAATCATTTACGAGATCGGATCCCTCCACTTGGTCAGAGAAACACTTACCTAGCCCTTAAGTGATGTATAGTGTACTTGCTGCTCTGTGTACTTTCGCGCGCTCTCGAAAGTACGCGAAACGAAGTTGAATAACGAAGGTGCTATCTAACGAATAGGGTTGATCGCCAGATGCCGGCCGGCCGGTACCTCTACCCAAGAAACGAAAAGCGTGAAGACGAAACGCAAGGAGGAGAGAGAAGAAGCTCTGGATTGCCAGCTAATGTCTACCGTGCCAAAAAGAAAAGTGTTTAGAAACGAGGGAAGAGAGAAAGAAAAAATAGAGAAGGCGAGCAAGTAGTAGAGGAGAATCTATTCCGTCGGGCGAAAATTCAATTTCCCTCCAAGACCGGCCCGGTGCTGCGATAGGCCAATTTAGTCCGTAATTACTGTATTATTATACCGTCTCGATAAGGATGTAATTTTACGATTAGATGATACGTCGATATTGTGTCGTCCGTGATCGGATGGTGCGACCATCGTGTCAAGATTTTATTAAGAGGAACGTGTCCAACGAATGTCAACGAGAATTCGCGGCGAGGCGCGGGAAGCGTTTCGCTCGCGTTTGCACTCTTTTAATTTCCCACTTCTCGCCGTTTCGCCATATATATATATACATATATACATATATATATGTATATATACACATATACAATACATACACTTGTCCGCCCTAATAAGCTGGACATACATACGTGGTCCTCGTGCGTTCAGGCTCGAGGAGCGCGGGCTAGAAGATTAAAGAAAACAGTTCCATAACGCCTGACGTCCCAATCGTTAGTCTAACTGCCCAACGTCCGCTCACTGCCGTTCCACTTCCACTTCCATTGTCGCCGTGATAACCGAGGAAAGCTGCAAATCGCTTTGTTGTAAATCAGAGGTGAGATCTTTTGGGCGGAAAAAGGATCGGAATTTTCGGACTATTCACTCTACCGAAATAATATTGATATAATATATTAACCTAATTACATTAATATATAATTAAATTAATATTACATTAATTATAGAATACTATTATAATTAATTATTATCGCACCCTTTTAATTTATCACATAATTATTAATAATTATAATTTAATTATGATTTTCGAAGGTTGATAATAGTTGTGTTGACAGATGCCTATGTTTAAATAGGTATTAAATAGATACTGCAGCATATATGTAACAATGTTAAAAGTTTTCTAACGAATTTTCCTATGACATTATATATATTTTATGGTAATTTAATTTTGGTAATTAGAAAATTGTTTTCTGTAAGAATTATAATGAAAGTACCAGAAAGTTTAGAAATTGCTGATTACGTATTATTTTGCGACTTGACACATTTTAACAATATCGTTCGTACATGATTTTACTTATTTGTAGCATTCTAGAACAAAGTTCGATGTTTTTGTGCGCGATGTTTGAATTGTCTCCGATCTCCGAGAGTTCTTAAATTCTTCCATTCAGATTTCGCAATAAAACAACCTCTGATTCATAGATCTCAGCAATCTCGAGAGCTCTTGCGATTTCAGCACGTTTACGTGGAGTTTGTGATCCCGAAGGTTCGCACGATCTTTCGCCGATGTGCTGGTTATAGTCGTGACTTGAATCGCGATTCAGTAGGACACAGTGCCAAACGATTATTCTATACCGAGGTAGTACGATAGCAAGGCAAGGAAACGCGACCTGCAACGCGAATGCGCTGAGTAAAAGTAATTTCGGGACCGTTTGCCGCTTTCCGAATTCGGTTGTCTCTACGCTCTGGAAGATGGGAACGAATGAAAGTACGCCCCGAATTAAACCGCCGGAAGCACCGCCGGACGTAGTGTTTGCGTCCGAGCGTAATAACGCTAAATAGTGACTATGCGGACAATCTAATCTCTTTTACAGCGGAACGTTACAGCGGAACACATTGTTACTCTTAGTTACCGTATTAATTGTATTTTGTAGACAGTGGTACGACTCTTCGAGTCAGCCACTACCGCTTTGTTGAATTAACTGACGGAGCGGCGCGTGTATTCCCTTTCGGATAGTCGATATATAAAACTGTGTGATTCTTCCCCCTGTCGTTCTTGATTAACGTCGGAACTGAGAATGAAGAACGCACGTATTCTTTTAAGGACGTGATCGCTAAGTATCGAGAGTACCTTAAAGTAACAATTAAATCATGTGATATTTTAATGTGCATCAAATGTTTAGTATGTGTATATATAACAGAAAACTAGTCATTTCTTACAATTACTTAAAGATCGAGATTTAGTCA